ATTTTAGTAGAGACAGGGTTTCACCATGTTGGCCAGGCTGGTCTTGAACTCCTGACTTCAGGTAATCCTCCCACCTCAGACTCTCAAAGTGCTGGAATTACAAGTGTGAGCCACCGCCCCCAGCCTCAGGTAGTTCTTTATAGTAGTGTGAGAACGGACTAATACAATGCCCTCTTCTCCTTCAGAGTAAACACTAGACATGATCGGATTTCTTAAATAGAGGGAGAAAGTTTATGTGTTTTATGATGTTGGGGCGCAACCTAAGAGATTCTTGACTCTGAACCTTTTAGATATCAGTTTATGTTGCAACAAAAAGCGTTGGCTTTTTTTTCTCACTTGATAACTTTATTAGAAACAAAGGAAAGTAGTTTTCATATTAAGCTTTTATTTTCTTTCCAGCACTGGGGGCTAGAAAGTGTGTTGTCACTACAAACGTCCAAATTTATTTAATGGTATACAGAGGTATGCACAAGGTCATGTAATATCAATATATCCCAAATTAACCAAAGTGTGTTTATTGATATATGTAATGAAGGCCTTTGCTATTTGATCCATAGAACATAGGATGTTCTTAGTGTATCTCAAAACTTTTATGTGTTTACATATTATTTCTGTAGATTGTTTTCAGAAGCAAGTTTTATTTCCATGGCATCAGTGAGCACAATGGCTTATGTGTAAATTAGAAATAATTGTTAATTTTTAATATGTACTTCATGGTAAAATTTCTTAGACATACACAAATGAGTAAAAACCAAATTTAGTGAATTGATATTACCTAGTTTCTAAAGTTTTGTTTATTTTCATTTGTAAGAAGTCATTTGCTTAAGGCCCAATTAATATAAATGAAATTATCATAGTTTGTGTTTGAGAAATACCCAGAAATTGTGCTGTTCTATTTATTTTATAAGAGGGTAACCAGATTTTACTCTGGAACCTCCTGGAGCTCTTTAATGCTCTTTGACTTAATGAAATTTATCTTTTATTACTAAAAACACATTATTCTTATATTTTAATGAGAATAATCATTTACATACTTCACATAATGGGTAAAGACATTTTGTTTCATGAATCTATATTTTTTCTTACTATAATGAGAACGTTATAGATTATGCATTTGTATTAATGGTATTTCTTAAAGCAGTAGATTTAATTATAAACCAAACCAGCCTAGAAACTATTGTAGGCATCTGTAAATTGTGTTGTAGGTACTATAAACTTAGCGGAGTCTCTTAATCAGGAGATTATGTTGTGAATACATTTGTACATTGTTAAAATATATTTCAAGATGTTTTGCTGATTTTAACAGGTGTCTTTATTGCAGTGGTAACTTTGAAGGTGCAAAACTTTATATTTGTATGAAAGTCTACTGTTTACAAAGCAAAAAAGAATGAAAAACCCAGAAATATTAATATCTAAAGATACATAATTTAAGGTAAAACACACCAGTGGTTGAAAGAGGAATATTTCCTTCCATGAAAATAGCAATTGGCTTGGAAGGCGTGAGACATAAAGTTTCAGGCCTCCAAAAATCATAGTTTGGAATATAGGACTCCAAAATTGATACAATAGGCCAGGTGCAGTGGCTCACGCCTGTAACCCCAGCACTTTGGGAGGCCGAGGTGGGTGGATCACCTGAGGTTGGGAGTTCAAGATCAGCCTGACCAACATGGAGAAACCGTGGCTCTACTAAAAATACAAAATTAGCCGGGCATGGTGGTGCATGCCTGTAATCCCAGCTACTCGGAGGCTGAGGCAGGAGAATCACTTGAACCCAGGAGGTGGAGGTTGCAGTGAGTCAAGATTGCGCCATTGCACTCCAGCCTGGGCAACAAGAGCAAAACTCCGTCTTAAAAAAAAAACAACAACAAACAATTTTTTTTAAATTGATGCAATAGTGTCAGGAAGATGGCAGGATCTGTGCCTGGAGCAGCAAGTTGCCTTCCCAAGGAAGGAACTGTCAAGGAGTTCTCAAGGAACTCTAATCCTTCAATAAAGATTTGCTAGATCCACAGATGCTTATTCAAGTAAAAAATTTTTGTGGAAATCACATGCAGAATTCAGTTTCAACTTTAGGTTGACTTGGTACAGCATGGATAAAATTTGAATATTTGAAAGAACTGGGAGCCTGGAATCCATGAGCTAAAATTCCCCCTTCATCTACCATATTTCACCCTTACTCACGACATTAGGTGCAGATGACCAGGGAAGACTTTGGGACACATGAGGAACTGGGAGCTCATGGATGCTTCCTCCAGAAGACTAAAGATTAAGACTGTGGGCTTAGGAATTAAAACTTCCTAGTCTGAAATCAAGCTCTACCAGCTCCCAAGTGTGTGACCCTGGGGATACTATTAACTTCTCTGTTTCTTGAGTTTCCTCAGCTGTAAAATGGACATAATAATCACACCAACCTCATAAGATTGTTATGGGAATTAAATGAACTAATATAATGCAAAGTGCCTAATAATACCTGACTGTGTCCCCAAACCTAGATATTCAGTTTTGCTATTATTATTATAGCTATTAGTTAGACATTGTTGTTATTAGGTAGAGTTTTAGTAATAGTAACAATTTTAAAAAACAGATCCTCTGCCACCAAGGATTTATGATGCGGTGTGACAACCTCGGCCAGTGTCTAGGGGAGGTGGGGGTACCGTGGTGGTGAGCTGAGGTCATGTGCTTAGCCCTAGAATCATGGGTGCTGAGGTCGTGTGCTCAGCACCAGGGTCATGGTGCAGCCATGGCCTCTGGGGGAATCACTATGACTAGGGCAAGGTGCATCCTAATTAGGGCGTACATAGATGCTCATAGAAAAAGTGCTCCAAATCTTGCCTCATGCTGGGATAAGAGACAAGAAAATGCTCCCAAGTGGAAATCTAGAGGAACAGGGGAGATGGACTGAGAGGGAGAGGAGACATCACATAGAAAAACACCTATGTAGAGCAGGCTGCACACAACTGTGAGTCCTACGAGCAGAGGAGGTGGCAGGGCCTGTCCAGGCGAGCTGGGACACAGGGCTGGGGATATCTGTCTGAATGATTGTCATGAAGAGACCTCAGACTCTGTGCTCTGCAGGGGAGGAGAAGCCCCGCCTTGCCATGCTGCCCCAGGAGGGAAGTTGCTGTGGGAGGAAGGGGCCATGAGACTGGGGCCATCCTCCATTGTGAAAGAGGAAGTAGACACTGTTGCCACTGCTGGGAAGTTGCTGACGTCTGTGCTTGGGATTCCTAGACCTGGGAGCCTTGGACAGTACTGGAGAGAGGTTGACTGTCATAGAGCCTGCTCTATATCCCAGAGACTCTCATCTCATGCCAGGGGTCCCATGACCCTTCCTAATTTGAGAGCTCAGACCTATAGGGTTCTGTAGCCAAGGATTGAGCTTGCAGCTTCAGAGACCATAATTCCAGGTGTGGCACATTTGAGGGCTTGTGGCTACAGAAGCCTTTGGGGATGGAACCAAATCTCCTGGGTGACCCCTACAAAAAGTCTCTCAAACCAACATCAAGTAACAAGCTAAGCAAATCAAAAAACAACAACTTCTCTTAGATCTGTCGGAGAAATGAGGTCACAGGGCAAAATTAGAGAGGCAGACAGGGTGATATGGAGAATTATAACTTCCTGAATTGGAAACCTCCATGGGAACGAGTGCTGGGGTCAGAAAACCTGCACCATGAATGGTGAATTGTTGTTAAGTTCAGTGAGGGCCAGTCTGAGTTAAAAACTCAGGAGAACCCAGTCATGGGAGCTCCCACACTTCTGCAAATTTTACCCACAGCAGCTTGATTGGTCCTCACAGTGAGTATGAGAGAAATATTCAGTAGTGCTTCCTGAAGAGGAAGGGGAAAGGGGACCGTTTCAAAATATACCAGTGTTTTCATCATCTTACGCTTGTTCCACATCAGAAATATACAAGAAGACAAGCACTGTTCCAACTATCCTTGCTATGTTTTACAAAGAATAATAATTTAATCCTCAATGTTTCTAATTCTTTGAATTACCATGAACTAAATATTTTTCCCTTTTGTCTACATTTGCAATTGATGTATTATATTTTCTAATATTTTGTATTTTGATAAATATTATGAGGATCACAGAGGAGTCATTATTTTCCCCTTTGGATGTAGAGTTGCTCTCCAGGGTCTCAGTGTTTTCAGTCATTTTTATAATCTTGCACTGCCATGCAAAGTAAGCACTGCCCTGTATTTAGTATAATATATGTAATAATATAATACAGTGTTAAGGAGAAAAGCTAATCAAGTTAAGAGACACTGGAATGCTAGGGTGGAGAGGAAAATGGATATTTTATGTAGGGTGGTTTACAGAAGTTGCCTTTAATAAACTGAAGGACAGAAGAGAGTGAGCCATGCAGCTGTTGCGGGGAAGAAGCCGAGGAATGACAGGATTTGACTTTTCCAAAAAATAACTGAGGCTGAAAATGCAATCCAGCAGAAGCTCTGTAAGTGGTCCAGGAGGAGATGATGCTGGCTGGGACCATGCAGGAGTGGTGGAGGTGAGAGGTGTGTAGGTTATGGGTACAACTCCTTTGTGTGCCAGAGCAGGCTGGGACTGGCTCAGGAGAGCCAACTGTTAAATTTTCAGGAATTGTGTATTCTAGTTTTTAAAGTGTTAGAAGCTTGAAATGGGCCATGTTGGGAGTATTCACCCCACAGAAATTGACGAACACTACAATTCAGCCTTCTTTTTTCTTTCGAAGAGTCAATTGTCAAACACTTACCATCTCACCAGGGGATGTAAGCATTTTGAAGCAGAACTGAATATGAGGTATAAACAAAGAAGAAATCGAGAAGGACTCCACGGCTTTAGGACTGTCACGGTATTTTTACCATGAGCAAGAGATTTAGGAAGGTTGCAGGATGATAGAAAAACTAGTGTTTCCATTACAGAGAGAGGAGGGAGAGCTGCTTTCTTTCTAGGTGTGAGGAGTAGCACACTGTCCTTGTCCATGTGTGTTGCTATAAAAGAATACCTGAGGCTGGGTAGTTTATAAAGAAGAGGTTTATTTGGCTTTTGGTTCTGCAGACTGTACAAGAAGCATGGTACTTGCATCTGCTGCTGAGGAGGGCCTCAGAGTGCTTCTACTCACAGTGGACAGTGAAGTGGAGTTGGCATAACATGGGGAGAAAGGAAGAGAAAGAGAGAAGAGGGAGCTGCTAGGCACTTTTAAACAATCAGATCTTGTGGGTACTAATAGACCAAGATAGCACCAAGTCATTCATGATGAATCCATCCCCATGACCCAAACACCTCCCACCTGACCCCACCTCCCACATAGGGGATGAAATTTCACATTGAGATTTGTAGGACAAAAATATCCAAACTATATCATATGTTTAAACAAAGAGGAAGGAGAATCATTTTTTCTCCTTAAAACCAGGATGAGTGTTAATTTGTATTCAGGAGGCAATAGAGAATCTCAACAAGGTTGGGTAATTGAGTAGGCAGGAATCCAGAAGGCAGAATAACTCTTGAGAATCTGAACTGCAGTTTGTGGCTTATGGACAGTCCAAGACGGTGGAGGAGAGGTGTCCTGATGGGTTTAGATTTGGCGTGTTTCCCACATCCTAGGGAGGTGTCATGAGTCACTCCCCAGAGCCCCATGCCATGGCTTCTGCTCAGGACCATGAATGAAGACTGCTGTGGAGAATCAAGGACTCCGCAAAGGAGCAACAGGAACCTGTGGGCAGTAAGATGTCCTGGGAGGGGAGGCGTTTGGAGCTGAGTCTGGGGAAGCTTCTCACCAGCCCCTTCTCTCAGTCAGAGCCCTTCAAGGAAGGAAGGAGGCAGCAGAGACTGGGGGTCCCATGAGGCAGGGGAGGAGGGAAGGAGCTGTGGATAACATGTCCATATTTAATCATCTGCTCACCATTTAAGAAACATTTCCTGGGAGCCTGTTATATTCCCAGTGCTGGTCTCCTTCTGGGATGCCTGTTGCAAGTGGACAGGCAGCCCTGAGATAGGACTCTGCCGGCTCAGCCCTCTTCCTGAGTCCTGGTGTCCCTTCCCTCGTTGCTTCCACTCAGGCACAAAGAGGGTCAGAATGGGTACAGCCCTAAGAGCTGCCCATCTGCGGTTTCTCAACATGACTTGACAGTGGGGATTCCTTTGGGCCCATGGAGTTCAGCATCAAATAATCTAGAGATGGCCTGCAAGGGACCACCCACTCAGTAGCCCCTGATTCAGGCTCCTCTTCTCACCTCCTCATGGGACCCTGGGGTGCTGTAAAAACCTTTGAACACCCTGGCTTATGCCTCCTCAAGCACCCACATACTTACTGGGGGTTGGGAGCCTCTTAGAGGGTTCCCTGAGCGTTCTGAGGATGCGGAGGGAGCTCTGTCACCTTCTCTAAACTCCACTAATCCTGATGCTGCATGATATGTGGGCTGGACTCTCCTGCTGGCCCTGCCCTTTTGGGGCAGCCCTTGGTCAGGCCTCCATCCCCCACACTTACAGTCAGGCCTTCTGCTTCCAGTACACATAGATGACAGAGACACCAACCACCAGCAGCACCTTGGGGCCCAGGAGGACAGCTATGAGAAGTGGAGCAGTGGGAGCCAGTACTGGGCCTGGAAATCAGGAGACAGGAGAAGTTAGGAAGGGGCTACCCAGGATGCCATCCCAGAGGACCCCACTTACCCCATCTGAGGCTACCTGGGACTGTCACTGCTCCAAATCTTTGGACACTGCATCTTACCCTGGCTGCCTTAGCTGCAACATAAGGCAGAAGCCAGGGAAAGAGGTTCCTCATTCCCTTACCCTGTCCCAGGCTGCCGGGCTGTCCTCCTGGAGGGACAAAGTGGACAGAATGTGTACTCACGTATTCATATGTGTGGCACCTGAGTCCCTCACTTGATCCTCACAAGTCTGTAAGGCAGGGTTTATTATTCCATTCTGATGGGGAAATTGAGGTCCAGAGAATTTAGGGAGGGTCACAAGGTTACTTGCATCCAAACTTAGGGAAGCCCATGATTATGTCCCTTAGGATGATTCCTGAGACTGTGTCCTTTTGAACAAGACAAGTCCAATTTTGCAGGGTCATAGGAACAATTATGAAAGGGCAGGTAGGGGTCATGAGTATAACCGAGTACCCCCAGTTTGCTAAGACGTAGTTTATTTTCTCTTTGTTTTCTTTCCCATTTCCCCCGCTCCCAGTTTCCTACTTAGTCCTTCAGAAATGCAAATATAACCTTTCACCTCCCCCTCACCAGATATTCCCTGCAGGGCAAGTTCTTCTGTGTGCTCCAAGACAGATCTCTCCTGGAAAGTTGGCACACCAAAGCATACCCACCACGGAAACTTCACCTCCAGGGGTAGCTTCCAGACTTTCATCCACCAGGAGGGCATATGGAAAGCATGCCCGCTTGGCCACTTTTACAACTGACTTCTGTCCAGGATGGCGCCAACTCAACTGGCGGGTAGCTAAGTCACCAGGCACTAGCAGAGGGACCCCTGCCCTTGGTCCCATCCCCATTACCTTTTGAAAGTGTCTGCTTTCTGCTCCAAAGGGGAAGTGGCACATTTAAAGGCAGGACACTTTGTGCCCCTTCCCCAACCTAGCTTTGGAATAAATTCACTTTTTTTGGTATCAGACCTCGCTCTCCTTGATTGGATTCTACATGCAGCAAGCAACTAACATGCTTTTTGTTTATATGAGGATGGCTTCAGAGTGAAAGATTTGCAGGCTGCCCTGTTTAGCCCCCACAGTGAGGGTGGACCCCGTGTTTTTGAGAGCTGGGGAGGCCCTTGAGGGGCTGGGCCTAATATACTGTGCTGGATAGAAAACACCCTGGTAAGTCAAAGCATGACTCTCATGCTTGGAAGGGACTCAGACATCAAGCTCACTTCGACCCCAGAGCGGGTGCCATCTGAAATCTCTCTGTTGGACAGACAGTCAGATCTGGGGGAACACACATTTGGATTCTTTGCATTTTTACAATGAGCATTTTTTTGCTGTTAAAAGCAAACAAATGAAGTTATGTTTACTTCTGTTTTCATGTATGTTTTCTGGGAAATAAAATGGTGCTGATAGGTCCTTAAGGAAGGAATGGAGATCTCAGCATCTGTGGCTGGAATGTTGGAGGCCAGCAGTTCTCAGCTGGGTGGCTCTCTGGAACTTTGTCTTCCTTGAGGAGAGTTGTACTCTCCAAGTTCACTCCTCCTTCTACAGGGCAGCCCATAGAAAGACTGGTTAAATTGAAAATAGGAAGGCCACACCCCTCTCCTCAATTAACACAACTCTAAGGGACTCTCTCAGCCCTTGGCTTCTCTGAAGAATCAGCTGGGTATTTGTCCTGCCTGCACTGTGGCTCAGCACGTCCCTCTCCTACACTTCTGCCTCACTCCCTTAGGCATATTGACCCTGACAGCACTCTAACATGCTTCCTGAATTCCTGTATCCACCTCCAGTTGACCTCCTAGCAAAACTGACAGTGGAAATGGTCTCAAAAGTAGACTCTAAAATGCAAATTTGGAAACTGACCGCTCATCAAGATTAGCTGGCAATGAGGACCCCAGGGCTGGTAGTGAGTGGAGCTGGGCTGGCCCTGGCTTGCAGCTATGGTGCAATTAATACAACTTTCGCTGGCAGTGACGTAGGAAGGAAATTCCTTGGCATCAGCCATTTGAAACTGGATTGGGAAATGGTAGTTATGAGGACTAAGGTGTTTGATGGCTGTTGCTGGGCATCGATTCTTTGGGGAAAGATGATGAGAAGCTAAGAGTAACTTATCATGAATTAAGGCTCAGTGTGAAAACCAGAGGACTTCTTGGCAGCAGTGTAGATTGTTATCTCCTGGAGCCAGAGGGCAGAAAGAATAGAAGATTGGGTTCCAGATCATTATAAGAGTAACAGAACCACAGAGGAGGATGAATCTCAGCTTCAACAGGCTGCTGTGCTGGGCTAGGGCCCTGATGGGGAAGTTGCAAGACCCTGAGATGTGGGAGGGAATGTTTGGATCAAAGAACTTATGATCATCAGTCATCTTCTGGGTTTCTGGAAACAGTTGCAGCAGCATAACTAATTATAACTAACCTCCCCAAACCAAAAGAAAAAGCAAAAAAGGAAAAGTAAGTTTTGCACAAACCTGGCTCTGAGTATTACTTGAACAAAGAATGCCAAACTGCAAAATGACTGTGGGTCAAAAGAGAACCTTCACCACACCCTAGTGCACAATCTCACTAGGCTGCCACGCTGCTGGTGCAGCACATCACATAAGGCATCTTGCATGTTGTGTACCAGTGTAGACAACTTAACATGCATTTCCAGCCATAGCACATGAGCAAGGATGCTACATCCAGTACACTGAAAGCACCCAAAAATGGCAGCCCTGGTCGGAGCTCCAGTGAGTGGATGGAAGTCTAAAAAGCAAATTCAGCTTCAGACAGATGGTGCAGATTCATCTCTTCCCGTTCCTCCTCGAGAAGCAAGACTAAGAACTCTGTAAATATCAGGAGCAGGCATAGGAGAACTTCCAAGGTGAAAAAGGAAGGCAGACTGGCTAGGGACCTGAGGACTGAGGAGCAGCCCTGAGGCCAGGCACTTGGGACCCATCCCCTCAGTATGAGCTCCCAGCCATAGAACATGACCAAAAAAAAAAGACACAGAAAAGAAAAAACGTCTCTATTCAATAACATAAATCCCCGCTTCAAGAAACTACAAGAAGTAGAGCAAAATAAACCTGAAACAAGCTAGAGATAAGAATTAATAAAAAGAGAAGAGAGCAGAAAATTAATGAAATTAAAATATAAAAACAATACAAAAACCAACTGAAGCAGCTGATCCTTTGAAAGGATCAATAAAATAGGAAAAATTATAGCAAGGTTGATGAATAAGAAAAAAGATTTGGCACATTTTAAATATCAGGATGAAATGAGGGCTATCACTACAGACCCTGCAGACATCAAAAGGATCATAAGGGATATTATAAACAACTCTACACACAGAAATATGATGACATAGATAAAATGGACCAAAAACTCTTTGAAAAGCACAAGTTGCCAGATCTCACCCAATATGAAATGAATAATGTGAATAGCCCTAAACTATTGAGGAAAGTGAATTCATAATTTTAAAGTACCCCAAAATATTCTTGAGGTACAGATACTTCATAGAAAAATACTACCAAACATTTAAAGATAAATTAAAACCAAATTTGGTGCACAGAAAAATGGTTACAAAAGAAATTTGGGGAAATTTGAATGTATGCTACACTTTAGGTGACGTGAGAGAATTATTTTAGCAATTTTATGAAATTTAATGGTATAAAAATTTTACATTTCATTAAGTTCATAATGATATTGTTTTTGTAAAAAATGTCCTCAATTATCAGATCACACAATTGTGGACTCCTCTTGCAACTGCATGGGCACACATAACTGGGTGAGCAGTGGACGTGACTATGTACCTTCCACACATCTCTGATTATAGGGGACATTGTTGTCCTCTACTTCCTGTCTTCACTCTTCCAGCAGGCAGGGACATGGACAAATCAGTGACCCGGCATTGACCCAGTAGATAAAGTCAATGCCATAGAGTATGTGGGAAGGAACCTGGGCCTTCTAAAATTCTTCTGGAATAGAGACCCCTCCTAGTATTATATGAGAGGGAAATAAGATCTATTTTGGTCATAGGCGGGGGAACACTGGCCGAATTCACATCCTTGGGACATTTTGTGTCCCAGCAGAAAGGGAACATTTCTCAAACTAGCATAAATTTGCATTATAGGCTGGTGGTGACCCTGTCCTCAGGACCTCAGACTTACCTTGATTAGTTTGGACCAGTCATCTGGTCTAATGCCTTGATCTAATTGTCTTCAACAATATCCCCTATTGCTTCCCAAGTCCTGGTTTCCCCTTCTGTAAAACTCCAGACTCACTGGATGGTTGAAGCAGGAAAGGAGATCACAGATGAACAGAAATTTGCACATAATAAATCTGCAGAGAGCTGTTGTGATTGTTATTGTTCAAATATCATCATCAGGACTCAAATGAGGCCCATGCTTTTACCACTTATGGTCACCTGGGGGCCTGGTCCAGGTTTAGATTCCACGTGTCTTTCTGAAATTCATACAGCAGATGTGGGAGTCTGCTGGGGGCAGGTTACAGATATGAATGGAAAAGTTCAGGAAGGAACAGACAAGGCAGAGGTCAGAAGGAGTAGGAAGGAGACAGGGTGGCTGATGAGACACGGGAATGTAATAACTGTCAGGGGTAAAAAGCAAGATGCAGAATGTGACGAACACATGATCCCTTTGCCTCCTTTCTTCCTCATTCAGTATACATTTACGTCAAAAAATCTGTCAGGTTGTACCTCAAACTCTTAATAGTGATGACTCTTGGAGGGTGAGATTTGGAAGAATGATGCTGACTTTAAAATTCTACTTTATGTTTATAGGCTTCTAGCTTATTTTATGACAAACATAAATATTAATTTTAACATGAAAGAAAAAGATAAAATTTAAAAATTTGAAGTAACCTTACCAGAAGTGGTATCTGAGCACTGTTCTTTCTGGTGGGCTGAGACCTCCAGGGCATGGCTTTTGCTGACCGCTGGCTGCCCATCATGTTCCACCTGGCAGGTGAGCACCACACCATCCCTGTGAGCACAGGTGTTCACCAGGAGCCAGCTCATCCAGTTGTAGGTACCATCCTTGTTTTCTGTGAGGGTCGAAGCTGTTTCTGTCTGGGACACATTTCCATTCTCCAACCAGGTCAGCAGTAGTCTCTGGGGGTAGAACTTCCTCACTTGGCAGGTGACGTTCGCCTGGTTCTCTGCCCTCATGGGCTGTTGAAAAACCTCCAAGGTGGGTGGAACTGAAACAGCACAGGGCAGAAGCTCTGACACTGTGGCACAGACAGATCACAGGGAGGGCTCCATAATGTAGCTCCCACCACCACAGTGAGGGCGTCACCAGGACAGTGCTAGGCAGGCAGCATGTGCTCAGACATTGAGGGTGCTCTTTGCATATGAGTGAAATTACTAAGCACAGTACCTGGCACACAGTAGGTGCTGAAGGACTGGTAGCTCCTACTAGGCTAAGAATGAGTGATATCTACAAGCACCACCCCTGGCATACAGTTGGAATGTAAGAACAGTAGCAAAATCAGTGAAATCGCCAAGCACATAGGGATTTGGCTCCCAGTAGGTGCTCACTAATTGTAGTTGCTCTTGGTAAAATAAATGAAACTCTCTAGCATAAAGCTTGGCACATGGTTTCTGGTCCCCTGACAGCTGCCATTTAAATGATGGTAAGTGACCGGCACACCTAGGTGCATGGAAGGTTGACGACACAGGAATTAGATTCCAGGACATTCAAGATCTGGAGCAGTAGCCTGGGGAGTTAGGAGTGGACTTGGCAGCCAGGTGTGGGCTTAGGCTGGGTAAGGGTCTTCTACCTCGGATGGCCTCAGACAAGTTGGCAGTCCCACGAAGAGCGTCCCCCTGCAAGGTGACGTGGGCCACCTCGCAGATGACTTGAGAGTGAACGTCTCTGCGGGTCAGAACCACCCTCGCTGTGCTGCGGATGCTGTAGGACATGCTCTGTCCTGCAGGGTCCACACTGGTCTGGAAGTCTGAAAGCTCATACCCATTTTTGAACCATTTCAGGGTGATGTCTCTGGGAGAGAAGCCGTGGGACTCGCAGGTGAAGCTCACTGTGTGCTCAGCTGTGGCCCTCACTGTGGGGCCCGATACCACTGGGGCAGAGGGTTTGGTTGCAAAAGGAGCATCAATAATCAGGAGATATGACTGAGATGACCATCACTAACAATAAGCGTGTGACATGTTAAGGACCTTCATGGACATTAATTTTTAATCTTTCTAATAATGTTGGGAGGGCAGTCTCCTTATTCTCCTTTTACAGCTCAGGCCACAACAGCTCTGAGAGGTGAGAACCAGCCCATGGCCAGACAGTGAGTAGGGGCAGGGCCCAGAGGGAAGTCCAGGCCTGAGTTCACAGTCCTCTCCACACAGGGTGACTTCCACCAATCTGGGCATAGGAACAAAATTACTGACTGGTCTCCCTCCATGTTAATAACTGGTCCTAGCTGGCCTCCACCAGAGAGCTCACCAACCTCAGAGAGGGCGTTTATAGAGCCAATGCCGGGAAAAATGGCAAAGTGGCACCACCATGAGAGCTGCAACCAGGCTGCTCAGCTCAGGAGACAGGTGGCCTGGCACACCCAGTTCCTCATCTGCAAAATAGGGGGACAGCATTTCTACTTCCTGGGATGTAGCCAGGATTAAATGGGGCAATGGAAGCAGTTTTGCTTTGGATCAAACACAGAAGATGCTTCTCAAAAATAAACACAGATCTATCTTTAACCCGGAATTAACAGATATACAGAGGTCTCTCTTTAGGTACTTGTGAATTATCCCATATTTTTATTCTTTTCACCAATATTTCAGTCTGTTTTGCTTTTGATAGTTTTTGCTGTATAACTGAATAATGCAGGTGTTTGGAAAGAGAAGGTTGGAGCATTACTCCACACTTTAAAAAGTAAAGCTGAGTGAGTGCTGCGGAGACAGGGACTGTAAGTCTGACTGGTGGGGATGAACCTTGGCTCCCCAGCCTGCTCACCACTCAGGTCTCCTCTCTGAGCCTCAGTGTCTTCATCTTTAAAGGAGGCAACAAATAGCTCCTCCCCCATAGCACTGGTTTTAAGGAGACGCTGGCACAACTGCTGGTCTCTGGCCTCCCTCTGCCTCCCTCCTGTCTCATCAAGAGAATCATTTAGGCTGGCAGCATGGCTAAGAGGGGTGAGTACCCTTCTAGGAGTTAGCCAGTCTGAGTCACACATGAGCCACTGGCTGTATTGCCTGGGCTGGGGAGGCACCACGTGGAAACTTCCGTGCCTTTGCCTGTGATACCTGCACAATCAGGATAAAGCCACCTTCCCCACCTATGTTCAAGGGTGGTGGGGAGCCCTGATTGCTACATCATCTAGGAGGAAAATTAGGCAATATTCTCAAATATGAAAACACACATATCCTCTGACCTAGGAAAGTCATGTCCAGTTGGAATTTCCCATCTGAAGAGGGTGACACATGTCTAAGGTCATCCACTGAAGGATTGCTCTAGTAGCTCAAAGTTGGGAATAAATTACATATCCATTGACAGAAGACTGTAAAATAAAATTTGATATTTCCGTTAATTGGAGTATTCTGCAGCTTTAAACAATGGAGCAAGCCTTTATGTCCTGATATGGAATCTCCATATGGAAAGATAGGGTGTACGTTTGGGAGAAGTTTTCCAATCACCAACAGGCTTTAGTGTCTGCATGTGAGGTGCATTGTGAACCTGTGGGAAACTGATGAAAAGAGAAATGCTGGCTCTCTGACCTGTGGTTCTGTTTGAGGAGCTTTTATCGAGCACCTATGATGCACCCGGCTCTTCTATGGAGACAGGTCTAATACTGGGGAAGGAAGGAGACTGCCTCGATTCAGACATGGACTCTGGTTCCAATTCTGTCAGTAATTGGCCCTGTGACCACGGACAAGGCCCCCGTCATGTCTTGGCTTCAGTCTCCCATCTGTAAAGGGGGTTGGGTTGGATGGTCTGAAGGTCCTTCTTGTGCTGACATTCCAGAATTCAGGAGCTAGGATGAGGCTCTTGAGCCTCTAGCAGGAAACCCCAAATAAGCCTTGTTGCTGCCTTATATGGGGAACGCCTAAGTCACCCAGTTGTGGGACCTCTTTCCTGAGGTAAGGGACATTCTGAGATGATGCAGCTCTGCTCAGAGCCCATGGTGACTGTGTGACTCAGTCCCCGAATCCCACAAGCGTTTCCCAAATGAACCCACAGCAAATCCCAAACTTATTGGCATCTCCTCCCACCAGGCAATCAGATTCAACAGTGAATGTACCTTCCAGGAATCTTCCCCGTGGGGTGTTTCTGAAGATTAAATAAAGAAAAACATGATTTACACTCTCCATGCCCTGGATGGATTTCTCCTCGTTAGAAGGGAAGAGAATGTAAGCTTGGTGGGGAAGAGCTTTGGGCTGTTTCATTCACTGCTGTTTTCACAGCATCCAGGGCAGAGCCTGGTGCACAGTGGGGTCTCAGTGAGTGCCTGCTGCATAAAGAGGAGACCCGGCCACCCTGAGGGGGAAGCCTTCTCTGGAGGCAGAAGGCAAGGTCCAGACCTGTGCCTGGGCAAGTCACTCAGTCTGTCAGTTTCCTCATCTGTGGAACCAAAGGGCTGGGTCAGCTTTGCAAACACAAGAGCTGTAGAGCCACAGACTGGAGATGCTGTCTTTTCCATCAAACATAAGCCGTGGACCCTTGAGCGACTACCATGACATCTCCAAGCCTCAACTCATGTGATCTGGAGAAGGGGTGACATCAGATCATGAAAATGAGCACCAACCACCACACCTGATTATTGCTCTAAGAATGGATAATGTAATTATTGATTTATTGTCACACCAGGGGACGAATGAGGCCCGCACTGTACTTACCACGCACAGACAGCTCAGTTCCTGCTCCAGACTTCAACTCCATATCGGGGCTCCCTTTCCGGAACTTCACACAGTAGTAGGTGCCGGCATCTGCTGGGGTGATGTTACTGATGCGGATGGTAAAGTCCATGTTGTTTCTCTTTGTGGGGTCTGAAACAGGTGTTACCCGGGGAAAGTGGCCTTCTTTCTGATTGTAGATTAATTCCCGGCCTGGTCCAGCTCCTCTGAACCACTGGGTGGGCCCCACAGGGATCAGGGAGGTCATAGTGCAGTTCAGAGTGGCCGACTCTCCTGCTGTGACTGACACGGACTTCTCAGGCTGAATCACCTGCAGCTCCTCCTCACCCAACACTCCTGAAAAGGAGCACAAAGCCATCATTTTTTCATCCTTACGTGATCCTCTGTGTTTCCTCAAGTGTTTATCAATGACTTTCATTGACTGCATACACACAAAGAGCAGGCCTTGAGCTGAGCACACTCTGTATATTATCTTATTTAACTCTCACACAAGCCTGTAACATATGACTGTATTACCTGTAGAGACATGGAAGCACAGAGGTTCAATTTCAAGGTAGCACTTTGGATTGAGGACCTGAGTGGAGCTCCTGAGACCTCCTTGGAAGTGTCAGGCCTTGGCAGATATATGATCCTCCACTCTCTGGCCACATGGAGTGTTGCACTTTCTGGACCATTGCATCGATCATACAAGGCCATATGACTTCTTTAGACCACTGAGTTGTGAGCAGAAGTCATGGATATAATTTGTGGGCTGTATATTCAACTGCAAGAGCACCTATGGATTAACCTCTGCCTTCCACAGAGACCCAGGAGACTCTGACGGTGTTTGCTTGCTCCATCAGCCTGAATGCATGAATGACCATAGCGTGCAGAATCCTCACCCACACTGAACATTCAGTTTAAAATGTAAACACAACAATGTTTTAAGCCCCCAGGGATTGCTCACTCATAGCTTAATCAGATTACATTAATTTCCTAATGTTGATGTGACAAATTACCAAAATTTAGTGTCATAAAACAAAAGAAATTTATCATATTATAGTTGCAGAGGTCAGGAGTCCAAAATAATGCTACTGTATTACAACCAAGGAGTAATGACGAAAGAAAAACACACAATGGTAGAGAATAAAACAGTGGTGAGTAGGGGTGAAATTGGGGGAAGTGATGGGGAGATGTAGGTCAAAAAATACAAATTGCAGATGGTTGATAAAGAAGTCCAGAGAATGAAGGTACAATATGAGGCCTCCAATTAAAAATGTGTTGAATTCAGTATTTTTGTTAAAAGCATATTTTATGTGCTCTTGACATACACACATGTGCAGGGTAACTATAGGAGATGCTAGGTGTCTCCAATTGCTTCACTAAATACATGCACATGAAAGCATCATGTTTTATGCTTTACATACGTGCAATTTTTTAAACAGTTGTCAGTAAAGCTATGTGTCTTCTGGAGGCTCTGTTTTTTGCCTTTCCAAATTCTAGAGGCTGCCCGTGTTCCTTTTTCGCAGTTACATCTTCCCGTCACTCTAACCTCTTGCTTGCATCCTCACATGTCCTTCTCTAGGAATTAATCTCCTTCCTCCTTCCTGTAAGGACCTTTCTTACATATGGTGTCCACCCTGATGCTAGATCCAGATGTTAAAACCACTGTCTTAAAAATGTTTGAAGTGGTTTTGGGCACAGTGGCTCATGTGTGTAATCCAGCACTTTGGGAGGTGGAGGTGGGCTGAGCACCTGAGGTCAGGAGTTCAAGACCATCCTGTCCAACATGGAGAAACCCTCGTTTCTATGAAATACAAAATTAGTCGGGCGTGGTGATGCATGCCGGTAATCCCTACTTGGGAGGCTGAGGCCAGAGAATTGCTTGAACCTGGGAGGTGGAGGTTGAGGTGAGCCGAGATCACACCACTGAAGTGGTAAAGGAAACAATGGATAAAAAACTAAAACCACAGGATTATACATGCATTAACAAAATAATATCAAGAAATAAAAATTATAAAACAAATCAAATGGAAACTTAGGATTTGAAAGTACAATAAATACAGTTCACTAGGGATTTCCCCAACAGGTGTGAGCTGGTAGAAAAAAATCAGAAAACTGGAAGATGGGATAATTGAAATTATTGAGACTGAAGTATGGATGAAAAAAGGAATAAAACAAAGAGAATAGAATCTAAGGTAATTGCGGGACATAATCAAATGAATCAAAATAACATTATTAGAGTCCCGGGGGGAATAAAAAGGGAAGAGAGAAAGGAGCAGAAGATTATTTGAAGACATAATGGCCAAAATGTTTGCAAACTTGATATAACTCATAAATCTAGAAATTAAGATGCTGAGGAAATGCAAATTTAACTCAAAGACAAGCTCAGAGATCCACAATAATACATATCATATTCCAACTCTTGAAAAACCAAAGACAAAGAGAGAATTCTGAAAAGAGCAAGAGAGAAGTGATTTCTTATATACAAGGAACCCTCAATAAGATTTATCAACTGAGTTCTTTTCAGAAGCGTTGGAGGCCAGAAGACAGCGGGATGATATGTTTAAAATGCTGAAAGTAGGAAAAACCTGTCAACCATGAATTCTATACCTGGGAAGACAAGTGTTCTTCAAACATGAGGGAGGAATTCAAATATTCTTAGATAAACAAAAGCAAAGAGAGTCCATTACCACTAAACCTTACCTACAAAAAATGCTAAAGGGAGTGCTTCAGGTGGAAATAAAAGGATGCTACATGGCAACTAAAAGTTGTATGAAGAAATAAAGGTGTCCAGTTATGTGTACATTTAAAAAAAAATCATATTTTCCTGATGCCTCAACATCCCACAAACAAGCTGTGAGCACCCTAAACACATGATGAGGTAACCAGTGTGACAATGCTGGTCCCTGCCACAATTCCTCTTCTTGTCCTCCTCTGCTGTGACCTAGTGACACTGAAACACTCTAGTAAAACCCATTGTGTTTTTTCTTTGTGTCCTCCATCATGACTCCCAGTAAAGGCAATTGCTTCCCATCTCTCTTGCTTCTGCTTGGTTGAGGCTACTCCCTGGAACTCCACCCATATGGCTTCCTGTGTGGCATGCCCCACCCCCTCTAGGACCTGTGAATAGAATAAATCATTCCACTTCATATGCCTCTCTACAAGAACTTTTCATGGCCATGTTAGAGTGATGCTTTAAGACTCAACCAGCAAGACTTACTCTACCATTTTCAACACTAACGGCAATGAGGACAGAATCATTCTAAATTGGGGTGGAAAGTTCCTGGGAGAAGCCCTGTGACTGTTCATGCCTTACTGATTTGCTACTTTGATTGGCTACTTTAATTTAAGAAGGCTTTTTACCCTGATGGCTTTTCCGTGCTGTGCTATGTACAGCTTTGTGTTGCCTTTTGGAGTGCAACCAAGACTCTATCCTAAGATGTAGATCCTGTTCCAATATCGATAATGACATCCACGTTTCTTCAAGGGTACAGGATGACATAAATTGATAACAACCTCTTCAAAGGAGATTCAAGTGATACACATATTAATGACACATAATCAAGCATCTCTAAGTTGTTTTGGGGTGCCAGTGGCAACATATCCTTCTTTACAAATTTTACTTATAAATTAAAAGCAACAACCACTCCTGTTTGTGTCTTCAAATGATCAACCTAAAAGTGGAGATTTTGGCAATGTCTTTCATGCCTCTTGAAGTCTCTAAACCACTCATGATGGCCACACATTTTCCCCAGGGCCTTTGAGGCAAATATAATGCCCCTCTCGGCCTTTGCTATACTCCATTACAACAACAAATTTCTGGTTATCTGTTGGGCTCTCCTGGCTTAGAGTCCAGATCTGAGGAGCATACTCTCCTGTTGTAATTATTAACCATAAATTGTCCCAAAGCCATGCTCTGCTTATCTGAAATGGAGCTCATGGGAATCTAAACTTCCATGAAAATACAAAATTAAGATCGCTGCCAGGTAGAGCTGCACACCTTTCTGTTACCAGTTGGCATTATTATTACTGGGTTTGTTGATGCAATAATCCTCAACTAAATACTAGCTGAGTTCAACAGCATAATAGAAGGAATATATACAATGAGCAAGTGGTATTTATTCCTGGAATACAAGAATGTTTTAATATAGAAATGACAAACAATGTAGTACACCATATTTATAGAAGAAAGAGAAGAAACACATGATTATCTCATTTGATGCAAAACAGCATTTGACAAATGTGGACATCTTTTTCAGACAAAAACATCAATAATAGGAATATATGAAAACTTTTCTAAGGTAAAAAAAGTTATATACACATACCTTATTTTATTTTCACTCATGACTGACTAATTTACTATTTTATTTACCTATTTATCATGTATATTACTGTCATTACTATGACATTACTGGAAAAAGAAATCAGTAAGACAATCTCATTCATGATTACTATCAACAAACCTAAAATAGCGAGAAACAAATTTAACGAAGGACATGAAAGAACTCCACACAAAAAACTGTAAAACCCTGAAGAAAAATAAATAGAAGACGAATAATGGAAAGATAGTCATGCTTGTGGATTAGATAATCGCTTTTGTTAAAAGTGTACATACCACCCAGAGAGATCTACAGATTCAATTCATTATTAGTAAAATTTTAATGACATTTTCCTCAGAAGTGGACAAAACAATCCTCAAGTTCACATTAGTCATAGAAAATTGTGACTAGAAAAGGCAATCTTGAGCAAAAAGACTGGAGGCCTCACACTGCCTGATTTCAAAATTGACTACAGTGCCATAGTAATCAAAACAGCATGGCACTGGCATAAAAATAGACACATAGACCAACGGATCAGACTAGAGAACCCAGAAATAAACTCACACATTTACACTCAATTAACTTTTGACAAAAATGTCAAGAAGACACAACAGGAAAGGTCAGTCTCTTCAAAAAGTGGCATTGGGAAACCTGCATATCCGTGTGTAGAGGAATGAATTAGACCTTCATCTCATATGACATACAAAAATCAACTCAAAACGTATTAAAGTCTTAAATGTAAGATCTGAAACTGTTAAAGTACTAGAAGAAAAGGCCATGACACTGGTGTGGGCAATGAATTTTCAGATATGAATCCCAAAGCACAGGCAACAACAACAAAAAAATAGACAAATGGCAAATTACAAATGAACAAATTACAACAAACTGAAAAGCTTCTACACAGCCAAGGAAACAATCAACAGAGTGAAAAGACAACCGGCAGAATGGAAGAAGGTATTTGATAGCCATACATCTGATGAAAAGTCAATATACAAAATATGTAAGGAAGTGAAACAACCCAATATTAAGAAAATAATCCAACTAAAACATGGGCCAAAGATCTTAAGAGCCATTTCTCAAAAGAATAAACTAAAATGACCAGCAGGCCTGTAAAAATACTCAACCTTACTATTCATCTGATAAATGCAAATTAAAACCACAGTAAGCTAGCATCTCACACTTGTTAGAATGGCTATTATTAAAAAGATGATAACTAGTTTTGGAGAGGATGTGGAGAAAAGGGGATTCTTGCATACAGTTAGTGGGAAAGTAATTTAGTAGAGCCATTAGCGAAAACAGGATGGAGGCTCCTCAAATAATTAAAAACAGAACTATCATATGATCTGGCAATCTCACCACTGGGCATGTATCCAAAGGAAATGACATCAACATGTCACAGAGATGTCTGCACTCCCATGTCCATTGCAGCATTATTTATAATAATCAGGATATTGACGCAACCTAGGTGTCCATCAGTAGATAAATGGAGAAAGAAAATGTGGTATATACACAATGGAATTCTAATCAGCCTGACCAAAGAAGGAAATCCTGTCATTTCCAACAACATAAATGATCCTGGAAGATGTTATGCTGAGTACAATAAGTCAGGCACAGAAAGACATTGCATAATGCCACTCATGTGTAGAATTTTAAAATGTTGAACTCATAGAAGTAGAGAGTATAATAGTGGTTACCAGGCACTAGGCAGGGGGTGCATTTTGGGAGATATTGGTCAAAGGATACAAAATTTCAGTTTAGTTAGGAGAAATTAGTTCCACAATTTTGTACAATATGGAGTCTTGAGTTCATAACACGATTTGTATTCTCAAAAATTGTTGAGAGCAGATTTTAAGAGATCTCACCACAAAAATGACATATATACAAGGTAGTTCATATGTTAATTATCTCAAATTAGTCATTCTGAAATGTACACATATTTCATTAATATGATATACATGATAAGTATATATAGTTTTCTCAAGTAAAAATAAAATATTTTATTAAAAATTTCATTGACATTAGCAACTTGGAGAAACAATGATAAAAAATGAAATCTCCTGTGTGTGCCTGTACACTTACTTATATGCACACATGCATATACATATGTATACACACACATATATACACACATTTGCAAATATATATACACACATACATATATACAAATGTATAAACACACATATAGATACAAACATTCACAAATATATATCAAAGTGTGACCTATTGTGATAGTATATAAGTTTGTTTTGTGTGTTAAATGAAATTACAACACACCTTAAAATCTCAGGAAAATATTTGGCCCATAGAAAGCATCCAACACGTTATTAACAAACTTAGAAGTACATACATCACAGTTGTAACTCTGGTTGTTGCTAAATAGTGTGGTAGGCAATAATTAATTCTACGTTTGCTTCCCCGCATTTTCTAATATTTCTGTTAGTAGCATAACATGACTAAAAGAATGAACTCTGGAGCTGGTTGACCTGGACTTGAATTCGAGCTGCTCCACTGACTGAGGTAGAAGACAATGAATGGAGAAGTTCTTCCCTCTCCTTGACTCCTTGTTTGCAAATAGGGGATAATAGTTGTAGCTTTCACACAGGGATGTTGTGAGGATTAGTGGAGTTAAAACGGGCAAAATGCTAATAACTGTGTCTACATGGTAGGAAGAGCTCAATTGTTAAACTCTTACTGCTATCATTTGTGTACAGTGTACGTGTGAGAAAAATAATTTGAAAAGTGAGACCCCTGCCCTCTAGGGCCTGTTAGGTGACATCACAGCAAGGCCCAGTGGGGAACTGAGAGGCTGCTGTGCCCAGCCCTCTGGTTCTGGGGTCGGCTCTATGGCCTGAGAAGGGATCAGGACACGCAACTTGCCTGGATGCAGTGAGCAGGGCTCTCTCAGGCTGCACAAGGAAAGGGCCTCCAATCCTGTCTGTCTTGGGGAAGGGGAAAGAAATTATCCATGGGAAAGTTAAGAGAACCAAGGGAGGTTGTAGTACCTGTTATGGGCTGAATGTGTTCCTCAAAATGCACATGTTGAAGCTCTAATCCCCAGCACCTCTGAATGTTACAGTTTGGGAGACAGAGTCTTTAAGAGGGAATTTAGTTAAATGAGGTCATAGGGGTGGGCCTTAATCCAACATGACTGGTATTCTCAAAAGAAGAGGAGATGAGGACACAGACACACACACATAGTAAGATTATATGTTAAGACACAGAGAGAAAATGGCCCTCTACAATCCAAGGAGAGAGACCTCAGTAGAAACTAACCCTGCTGACACCTTGATCTTGGACTTCAGCCTTCCTAACTACAAGGAAGTAAATGCCTGTAGTTTTAGCTGCCCAGCAGGCAGGTCTTTGTCGTGGAAGCCCTAGGAAAGGAATATAGGACCCAGTAAGCAGCAAATGTGGAACTTCTTAAAGAGGAAGAGATCACAGAGAAATGGGTGGTAAGAATCAGGTCACAGGGGAAGGAGGAGCATGGGGGAACAGAGGACACAGTGAGGAGCACCCTTAGGTAGAACCGTGGCTGAACATTCCCAGGACACACCGCACCACTGGCCATCTCAAGTGAGCACCATTACAGACTTCACCTCCTCACAGTGATGAAGAGAGAGGGCTGGGCTTGGAGCCACATAACCCTGTTAGGGTGTCTCTGAGCTCAGTCTGTGGCCTTGGGATGTTGCTTGGCCCTAGGGCCTCAGCACTGGTAAGGATTTAAATAACGATTCTTCTCTGCTTTGTCAATTGAAATATCAAAATGTAAGTAATTGTTGTAGTGGTGGTTGAATCATCCTGTGGTTCAATGCCTCTGGTAGCCAGCTGCAGATCCACAGAGAAAGTGCTCAGCCCCCTGATTTTCTGCTCTCAGTCAAGGCCTAATCCTTGGCCTTTCTTGGCAGCACTTGTCATTGTCTGGAATCCCTGGAAGTCCAGGGGCAGGCCATGGCTCAATAGGCAGGGAAAAAGGACTTTAACCCAAAGCAATGCTCACCTGGTAGTCCCCCCAACAGTAGATTCATCAGCAGGAAAGGACCAGGAAGGTGGGGCCAGGAGGCTGGGATGGGCATTCTGGAGACCTTAGGAGTCTGCTCTGTCCAAACTTCTGTACTGGGAAGATCGCAGACTCGCCTCTGAGGAGAGAAGACAAGCCCTGCCTCCCTTGGTTCAAGAGGAAGTGGCTGTGATGGAGTGAGGCAGTAACCTGCTTCTCGGTTGTGAAATAGAAAAAAGGCACAGCAAGCAGCTACAATGCAAGCAATTATTCACGCTCCATTTCAGGAGAATCAGACAGGCTTAGCAGAGATAATGCCTCCTTCCCACTTGGGGTCTGATTTCCTTCCACATGGCTCCTCACCCCATCTTTATGTCTTCTTGGTGATTTGCCATTTGGTGCTCTTCAGCTAAGAAGGACTTGTGGTTATGAAATGTTACCTAAACTCTCCATCTCAAGACTGCAGAATGTGGTTGGCTTATGGTCTCACTCTGCACCAGCCTCAACCACATGCTACTCATTTGGGGACAGGAGGAGGGATCACAGGACCTGCTCAATGTTGGAGAGGAATCAGGTCTGCTCTTGAAATGGTTCCCTACTCCAAACGTTTATCAATATAACTGGCAAAACTTTGCCCCAGTTTAGTTTCATATGGACCTTAGCACTTTCATGTGCCTGCACCCAGAAGAAGGAATTACTTCCTGAATTCTTCCAGGAGAGGAAGTGGGCTTAGGGTAATAAGGATCTGTTTTGTGGGGTCAGGTGGGGATTATGGGTTATGGAGAGGGTATAGGTTTATTATGGGGGAGAATATGGAGGACAGATTCCTAGGGCAGTCACATCAATTTCAATACTCTTTGCTCTGTACACAGAACACCTATTCCATTCATCACTGTGTTCAGATGGGAACTGAGGAGGGCGGGAGAATAAATACCCTGACTAAGAGGGTGTGCTAAGGAGTTGGTGAAGTTACTGGGCCTTCCTAGGTTCAGTTTTGCCTTCTAACCTTGGGATAATAAGTCTCACTGCCATGTTTTAGTGGACTTCAAAGGAGGTAATGACTATACATGCCTGAGACTCAGTAGGTCATTATTGATACTCATGGTGCCAGGTGAAGAGAGGAACTCAGAATATTGCTTTTATATGGATTCCTACTGCATGCTGAGTTTCCCACCAGTGGCCTTTCCCAGCTTCCCAGGACTTCTGGGACCCAGCTTATACAGTGTACTTGGACTACCCCTGCCACTCTGAGATCAATTGCTCCCTCTGGATCCTCTTCACCCTGCTTCTTGTCCATCTGTAGATCTTTTCTTACAATCTCTAGCTGTGTGACTTTCAACAAGACACTTGACTTCTCTAAGCCCTAATTTAAATATGTGTATATGTATGTTATAACATGCACCTTGTAGTGATATGGTAAGAGTAATATAAACCATACATACACAAGGCTTGATTCATATTTAATTGTAACCAAAATATTGTGGCTGTAATTATATTTGTGTACAGGAAGAATTCACTGCTTCCCTGATATGCTTGTGCTTTAGAAAAATTACCTTGTTAGGAGAAATGGTTTCTCCTCCTTCATCTATGACTAAGAAAGACCTGTCTGGAAACCTCTCTTTCCCAGGCTAGGTTTACGGTCCTTCATCCATCATGAGTAATTGTCAAATGAAAATTTAAACATCATTACATTTCCATCCAAATTTGTTTTTCAATGTGGCAGATGCGGAGAGGGTAAAATCATCACCTCCTGTTCCACACCCACAGAAGTGAATATAAAATTAATAAAATCATGTTAATCGATGTCAAATTACACTTTAAAACAAGAAACTAGTCTCTATATGACATGAAGAGTAGTAGCAGCTATTGTTTATTGCAGATGTCCTGTGCTCCAGTTACTGTAATAAGCATTTCATGCCAGTTACCTCATTAATTCCTTACTCTGACCCCATGAGATTAGCACTACCATTAACTTTCTTTTACCAGTGAGGAAACTTGAGGCACATAGGCAATAATAAATTTGCTCAACATCACCCAGCTTTTAGAATTAGAACACAGGTTGTCATACTCCATGGCCTTCACTGTTAATGGTTGTACTATGACACCTCTCACAAGAAGGGAGAGACATCTCTCAGGAAGGAAGCAGAGAAGAAGCCATAATCTCAATTAGGAACAGCCCCCACAGCAATGTTGGGATAGGTGCCATGTTCCACAAAGTGCTGACAACACACGATCACTCAGGGTATTATTCCTGGAAAGATGACAGTGAAAGGAGTAATCACTAAACAAGAGGGCAAGAGTGGCATCATGAAAGATAAATGATAAATTCAAGAACAATAACTCAAAAACAAAAACAGCAATGAGACTAATATCTCAGAAAATAATATGAAGAGGTTTTTAACATTAGCATATTTAGTAACTGTATAGAGATAACAAAAGGAACGTAAATCCATAAAACAACATCAGTCATGTATGAAACAAGAATAGGTAGGCATGAAGTAACAACAGGTATCTGATAAAAGTAACAAAACAGAGAATTTTGAAAAAATATAATTAGTGCTAAGTTGTTTAAAAAATAAATAGGTTGATGAATTAATCCATTCTTGCTATAATTATTATAATAAAATACCTGAGACTGGATAATTGATAAAGAAAAGAGGTTTAATTGGCTCATGGTTCCAGAGGCTTTACAGGAAGCATAATGCTGGTATCAGCTTCTTGGAGGTCTCAGGAAACTTACAAAAATGGCAGAAGGTGAAGGGGAAGTGGGCATATGGTATATGGCTAGAGTAGGAGGGAAAGAGAGAGTGAGGAGGTGCCACACACTTTTAAACAAACAGATATCATAAGAACTCACTCAGTATCATGAGAACAAAACCAAGAGGGAAATGTGACCCAAAGACCCAGTCACCTCCCACCAGGTGCTACCTCCAACATTTTCTCCTGCCCACTTTCAAATATTATGTCCTTATAACATTGCAAAATACAATCACTCCTGTAGCAGGCTTTTGCCTGGATATCTAGGCTTTTCCATATATTCTCTGACATATCTAGGCAGAGGTTCCCAAGCCTCAACTCTAGTACTCTGCATACCTGCAGACTTAACACCACATGGAGCCACCAGGGCTCATGGCTGGCACCCTCTGAAGCCACAGCCCAAGATATACTGGAGCCCCTTTGAGCCAAGGCTGGAGCTGGAGTGAATAGGATGCAGTGAGCCATGTCCCAAGGCTGCACAGAGCAGTGGGTCCTAGGCAAGGCCCTAAAAACCATTGCTCCATTCTAGGCCCCTGCGCCTGTAATGAGAGGGTCTCTGAAATGCCTTTGAAGCCTTTTCCCATTGTTTTGGATATTAGCATTAGGCTTCTTTTTACTTATGCTATTTTCACAGCCTGCTTGAATTCCTCTCCTGAAAATGGGCTTTTCTTTTCTACCACATGGCCAGGCTGCAAATTTTCCAAACTTGTATGCTTTGCTTCCCTTTTAAATATAAGTTCGAGTTTCAAGTCATTTCTGTGCTTACATATACGAATTAGGCTGTTAGAAGCAGCCAGCTCACTTTTGGAATGCTTTGCTGCTTAGAAGTTTCTTCCAGCAGATACTGTAAATTGTCACTTTCAGCTTCAATGTTTCACTGACTCACAGTTCCACATGCTTAACAGGAAGCATGACTGGCAGGCCTCAGGAAACTTACAATCGTGGTGGAAGGAGAAAAGGAAGCAGGGAGTTTCTCCACATGGTGGCAGGAGAGAGACAGAGAGAGAGTGAAGGGGAAAATGCCATACACTTTAAAAAACCA